GGGGGGGGACGCTGAGTATTTCTAAAGAAAGAATTTTTTATCGTGAACCGTGCCTTTAAGGACTGCACTCTTTCTCCAGGTTTCACCGACATTTCTCGTAGGGACTGCAAGAGTAGCGAGAGACCCGTAACATTATGTGTCACATGAATTGAGGAAAGAAAGATTTGCTAGGATTCTGTGCTGTAGGTGTGCCAGAACGATGTGTGACAGGATGGAGGATGTGTGACAGAAATGAAGTATGAATGCGTGTCCATACCGTAGTTCTGAAGCTGTGAACAGCTACTGCTGCAGCTACCACATGAGGGAGAAGCAAATACCGTGATATAATCCATTTCCAGGGCAGAAATTTCTGAGAATGAATGAATGTGTAGACAGACGCTGTCAGACAACCTCCCCTTCATTCTGAATCCAGCCCTGCCTGTGCGAGCTTCCTTACAGACCATTTCATTCCCATATCGGAAATGAACAGAATAAATTAGTGTTGAGGAACTGACAATTCGTTTATTCAGCTCACGCACATTTTCTTATGATTTATGTAGGAGCAGCAAGAAAAATGTTGACTGAGTGGCGTTTTTGGCCTAGCAACCTTTTTTTAGAGAAGATATGAGAGATTGTAGTCGAATGATCTTGTGGTGCACCATGCGCACACAGACAAAAAGTCTTTTTTTGTATCTTCACTTGAAATCTGGTTAGCTGGTGAAAGGATAAAAGTGTGAAGTCTTTAGGCGTCAAATAATTCCGTCTGAGGGATGCGCCTCGCATTTCACTTCCATTCAGAATCGTAGAGGCGCATTGAATGCGCATATGGCTGATACAGTGATTTGTGGGAGCCAATGATGTGCAAGACAATGCTTTTATCTTCCCAGACAAATCTGGTACTAACCGATCCCGCGGGGATGGAGACTCGGTTTGTTTCGAACCGAAGAACATCAATGTGTGGAAGTGCGCCACTTGCCACTACACCACCCCTATCAAATTTGGAAAATTTGTTATGTCCTCAATCATGACTGAGTGAAGTCAACACCAAACTGAACAACATCTCCATTAAGTGGCGAGCTGTTAAAATAAAGGTAGAGATAGAAAGTCAGCTGAGATAGAAGCAAATTGTGGTATCAAAACGATGCAGAAGATCCCGTAATCTGATATTTCATAACCGGAGCCTAATACAGAATCTTTCACCACAATTCGTGAACGTTGCAGTGATTTTCGTGAGCCCCATAATGAATTTTGTACTACTCCTATTCCATTTCGTAGATCTTGCAAATGGCACTAGGCCCATGAGCCCGATCTCGTAAATCAGGCGATCAGTTTCATGAATCTCTTAATGGGCGACTGGTATGTACTGGGCGACTATCCATCTACTTGATCGGGGAGACGGGCGTTAGGAACGATTTTGGGTAATCGATTTGCCGCACGCGGCTGTCGCGGACCACTCATTCGCCGTTATTACATCTCTAGCGTTCTTCATACAGCTCAATCGATATGCCATCATTGTTTTATGCATAATTCTACTATTAGTACTTTTGTTCTTGCATTTCTTACCTACTGCTGCAGCCGCACCACACCCACTTGATCGTCAAGATCTACAGCGAGGATGCTCGTGCTCCGACTTGAGCGACAAGAGAGGTCGCGAGATTAGAGAGGTAAAGACGCAAGTCAACACAGACTGGGAAGGCGATGAGTGAGGTACTATTCTTGAAAATCTTAAAAAGAGGTGTTTGTCTACCATCATTGTCGATGTGTCTGAATACGCAACCAAAAGGGTGCCGATGGCATGATCCTACGCCGCCAAGGGCGTTCCTCTTCAAGCAGCTCGACACAGTGGAATAGAGACTATTGAGGCAAGGCATTCATGGAACTTTTTCCCTCGTGATTACTAGATGCAGATCTTCATGGTCACCTACGCTGGGTTTGACTTTGCCATGCCCACGACGGGTGAGAAGGGTGTCATTGCTACGGGGGACGTCAGCTGGGCAAACACTTCTGACAGGGATCATCTCCATCTGTTCCTCATCACACATTAAAAAAATTCATGAATAGAAGGCAAGATTTACGAAATCATTTGCAAGGTTTGGGGGACGAAATTGGTTGAAAAAAGA